AAAAAGAGAGATAGCCAGCGCCTTTTATCAGCTTAAGCTAGGCCATGGATACTTCAAATCATACCTACACAAGCTCGGCCACACTACCAACAACCGCTGTAGATGTGGAAGACAAGAGACTCCCGCTCACCTCCTTCTTAGCTGTCCAGAAACTGGGGATGCAAGGAAAGTACTAAAGCGCAACCTCCTCAAGCATCATATTCGAGAGTTCACCATGAAATCCCTCCTTCACACCGCCAAAGGAGTCGAGGCCACACTTGACTTTATTCGAACCACCAAAATCGCCACTAGAATATGGCACACACAACGCGCAACTGAGGATGAGAACGAAGATGAGGACGAGGAAGACGAGGACGATGAAGACGAGAACGAGGAAGTGTAGTGTACAGGGCGTGAAACGCGGGGGCGTATTACAGCATAACAACTTTTCTTCTGTTATAACCAGAAGCCTAGCTGCTTCCAACAACCCAAGAACTGTATTCACCATAACCCCCTTCTCAAACATGTATTTAGTACAGCTTTATTCATCTGTTGGAGGGAAACCCCCAGCCGTGCTACTATAGTCTCAGACTCACACAGCACGTTAAAAGGAATAATAATAATAATAATAATAATAATAATAATAATAATAAACCCAATGCCTTCCTATTATCCTTTACTCAAAACTACAGTAACCCTCTGGTTCCAAACTCTTCTCATACAACTCCAAGAAAAACCCCCCAATGTCAGCTCAGCAGAAACCAACAGGAATTTGTTCTACAACTCAAAAACACGGACAGATAGTCAGCACCAGGAACAACCTTTTTCAAGCAACTGCTTATATCCCTCGCAAAGGAGTTTGATTGTATCCAAGGAATTACTTGTAAAGATAGATAGAACTAGTTTCACTCCCAGTACCGGTATGCATCAAAACGTTGGAGAGATGCTTAGCTTAAAACACAGAGATAGATTAATCCCAAACAGGCAGGATGGAGGGGATGTGTGAAGACCTGCTTTACTTAACAAAATCACCTTCCAAAAGCTCGCTTATTCTCGCGATTGCGCCCCGTTCTCTATCATTATTATAAACATTAGATTAAATGAGAATTTTGTGTGATTGATATTGTGAGATTAGACGAATTCATAAAATAAGTACTCGTGGTGTTAATCAAGTTCTCGGCATAAGATTTTATTATAACTCGGTAGTTACTTGATGAATTCTCGTCTCATAGAACCTCGCTAAATAAATCTAGAATTCTTAGGAAAGTACATGTAACAACTTTTCACATTCTCTCTTTTAGAGATATCAAGATGTATCATGCAGTTCTGGGATTATTCTCGTGGATACGAGGTTCTATGAGCGGGGTTTGTTCATAACGCTGGAAGGAAGAATTACAACGCACCGTCTAAGAGTTGATACAACTACATTTCCCATCAAGGAAGACAGTAGAATCAATAACTCCCCCATCTCAGCCTCATCCACCCCCCACAAAACCTCAAAGCCCTAGCCCAGTCCAAACCAACACAACCCCATCAATATCCCAACAAAGCCGCCCTCCCTAGTCCCAAAGAAAGGACCGGTCTGTTCTCGTTTCACCCACCTAACCCTCACTTGAAAAACAAAAACCCTTAGGCAACCGACCTCCACCCTTCCCACAAAGCCCCTTTCACAATGAAATTCGAATCAAGTTGTATGAACCCGCAAACTGATTCAACTCGGTTCAAACATACCTCATCTCGACACGCTTTGACCAGCCGTTCGAGACGGTCCTGACAAAGCGTGATGATTCATAGGTAAATAAAGGAGCGTGTAAAGATAGATAATGGGGTTGAGACATGCGGGGAGCATTCAAGAGCATTCAAGGCTCCCATATAACATGGGGTATAAGAGTGCTCTTTTGAGACTCTTTTGAGAGATTTGGCTTGACGAACTCCACCAGAATTTCGTACAGACCAACTACCAGAACACAACCAAACTCTTCAAATCCTCACGATCAGAAATCCACTCCCACCTCAACGCAAATAGGAAAACCCTCCGCGAGGGCGCAGGGAAAAAAAGAAAAGAAATGTGCAAAGAAAAAAACCTCTACTGCCTCAATTGCTACACAACCTGGACATCCATCACGTTCTGTCCTCTCTTCTATTTCCGGCAGCGAGGGAAGAGACGCTTCAGTGATCATCGGGGGTGTACGAATTTCGAGGAAGGGGGGATGGAGAGGCCACAGGGGATCCTCTTTTCTGATAGAGAGCATGATTGTATACCTCGGTAAGGCTGTGTCTGGGATTCTTGTTATTTTGGAAAGAGGAGATGAGATGGAGACTGATTTTGTGGAAATAGGATGGGGAGAGGGGGGCCGAGATGGCTTTTTGATTGAGTACGTGGGTGTATGATTTTGAGAAGAGGAAGTGTTTGCTATGATTCTTCGGCCTGGTAGATGGGTAGGTAGGTATCTTGGATATTGCATTAGATGCTTGCTGATATCTGGATATCAGGGCGATATCTTTGGTTCTTTTTCGTTCCGTCCATGGAAAACAAACAAACCGAGTCATTAAACTGTGAGGTTTCCTTGCACTTTTAGATTTTGGAGAATGAACTTCCTCGCTTGTGATCTCTGTGAATAGTGTTGATATCTGGAGAGTTGGGGCACGCGAGAGAAGATGATGATTGAAGGAAATGCAAATCCGTTGATCATAGAGCTCTAGGCTGTCGACAACATCCCGTGCTAGGTTCTAGTTTTTCCGTCCCAAGCATGGATAGATGTAGACATCAGAGGGTAAAGGCTTGGCCTGTGTATCTATATTGACTTGAGTAACGAGAAGCGAAGCTGTCCATCGTGCCTTCCTTCCAGCTGGAAGAACCCTTGGATATTGATCTAGAGAGAAAGGAAATGGGATTTTTCGAACTATCGGAAATCTTAAAACTAATTCCGGATGAACTCTGAAAATTGTGAAAACTAAATAGGACTTGTGGTGATAGTAGTCGGATGTCTTTCCGCATAAATGTGCTCTGGAGGAGAGAAAGAATTTGGTACCATTGCACCAGAATATCCCGAAGGACGTTGGTCATTCTGCTTATTTGCAACCACATGCAACTCTAGTATTAATTTCTTCCCAGCTGTAATATATAAGCTGGATAGCTGCCAAAAGTTCAGCTGAGGTGACTTTCGTGGAGATCAGACGAGGGTGAATTGTTAAAATCGTGGATTTTCCTTTGCCCACGCTAGAAACTTCTCGTGCCAATATTGAGTATCCAACCATGAAAGATGACAGTGAACAGGTAGAGTCAAACGTTAAAATGTTCGGAGAAATGGAAGTCATGATTAATAATGAGATTCTGGTTGGTGGGTGTTGGTAGTGAGATGTTGGATCTATATTTAATCGCCAAGACTGACAGACAACCCCGGCCGAGGTTCCGCTGTGAAAGCCAGATAATTGTCATCGCATTGCCACGGATCTTCCGCTACCCTAAGTTTCAACATTACAACATCACTTCGAACGAATCTCCTTACCATCACCACTACTTTCGCATGGGCTGGTGGACTTGATCAATTTCAAGCTCACATGCCTTCCGCCAAATACGCTCATCGGTGATGCCATTGCGATGGCCAGGAGGCTGCCTGGGCGGTGCAAACGGCCGCAAGACAGCCTTGTATAGAAAACCTGGCATTTTGCTGGCAATATGGTCGATATGGCTGGTTTCGGTGTCTGCCATGAGAAAGGGAAGGATTGCAGAATTACGGCAGGAGACAATTGACATGTTCTATCATGGATTTGATAATTACATGAATGTCGCATTCCCAGAGGATGAGGTTGGTTCTGCTGAATACCTTCAAATATTTCGTTTGCAATAAACTCACTATAAATATAGCTGCGACCTGTTTCTTGCATACCTCTAACTCGCGACCAAAATAACCCCCGCCATGTCGAACTGAACGATGTTTTGGGGAATTATTCGCTTACCTTGATCGACAGCCTCTCGACGCTGGCCATACTTGCATCCGCCCCACCAGACGAGAACAATACAGGAGCCAAGGCTCTACGGGATTTTCAAGACGGTATACAATCGCTGGTAGTGCATTATGGAGACGGCACGAGTGGCCATTCCGGTCAAGGGCTAAGGGCACGAGGATTCGATGTAGACAGTAAAGTGCAGGTGTTTGAAACGGTTATAAGAGGTGTCGGAGGACTCTTGAGCGCCCATTTATTTGCTGTTGGAGAATTGCCCATTGACGGATATGCTCCAAAATTGGTACGCTTAACGAAGAAGAAGAAACTTGGAAAGGGCGAGGTTCCTGCGATTTTGTGGCCAAATGGGTTTCTATATGATGGCCAACTGTTACGGCTGGCTTTGGATCTTGCGCAACGACTTTTGCCCGCCTTTTATACGACCACCGGGATGCCATATCCCAGAGTAAATCTTCGACATGGAATTCCATTTTACCATAATTCTCCACTGAACAAGGACTCTTCGGATTTTGATGATATTCTACAAGATGGGGCTCCTGAGATCACGGAAACATGTAGTGCGGGAGCTGGAAGTTTGGTGCTGGAATTTACGGTTCTCAGTCGACTTACGAATGACCCGAGATTCGAGCAGCTTGCAAAACGTGCATTTTGGGCTGTTTGGGACCGAAGAAGTGCCATTGGACTATTGGGTGCAGGAGTTGATTCTGAAAGTGGCCAATGGATTGGACCATATTCAGGAATCGGTGCTGGGATCGACAGTTTTTTCGAATACGCCTTGAAAACACACATTCTTCTCTCAGGGCACGACATGCCCAACATAACGATGCCGTTGCAGGAAGCTCATAATTCCTGGCTAGACCCGAATACCATCTATACTCCTTTAACAGATGAGGAAAACTCCTCGGATGCTTTCTTGGCTGCCTGGCATGAAGCTCATGCAGCAATAAAGCGTCATTTGTATAGTGGTATACATCATCCACATTATGTTAACGTGCATTTGACAACGGGATCACCACAAGCCTATTGGATTGATAGTCTCGGGGCTTATTATCCTGGTCTCCTCACGCTTGCCGGAGAACTTGAAGAAGCCATTGAGACGAACCTTTTATACACTGCTTTGTGGACTAGATATGCAGCATTACCCGAGCGGTGGTCGGTTCGAGATGGTCATGTTGAAGGAGGCTTAGGATGGTGGCCAGGTCGTCCAGAATTTATTGAATCGAATTATCATTTGTATCGAGCTACTCAAGATCCTTGGTATCTGCATGTCGGCGAAATGGTGATCTCAGATATCAAGGCACGATGCTGGACTGAGTGTGGATGGGCGGGCCTCCAGGATGTACGGACTGGCGAGAAAAGTGATCGGATGGAAAGTTTCTTCCTTGGGGAAACTGCAAAGTATCTTTATTTGCTTTTCGATCCTGAGCACCCCCTCAATTCACTTGATGCTGCATACGTTTTCACTACGGAAGGACATCCCTTGATCATACCAAAGAAAAAGCCATCTACCATAATCAGAAAGAAGATTCCATTAACTAAGAGTATTCAACCACGCTCAGACACAAAACCAAAGGATACTTGCCCCGTATCACCACCGCCTGTTCCTTTTTCAATATCCGCAACAGCTGCCAGATCAGACGTATTCCATGCATCAAGTCTCATAGGCCTACACCAGACTCCAAACTACAGACCGACAGCCGAAAACCTCAAGCTTTTCCAAGCATTACCGGAACATGAAGTCGAAGACGAGCATTCCGTTGCTTCTGTCATAAAAAACCACACCTTCTACCCTTGGACACTCCCTGGTTCCTTGATGCCCAGCGAGGGATTTTGTGATAAGCTTCCGTTCGGTGAGACATTTGCAATCGAGTTTCCCGTGAGCGCTGCAACAACTTCCACGATCGGTCAACCAGGATTCTTGACATTTGCTCCACAAGGACTCGTTCGACTGAATGAAGGTATCCTCATCAAAAGTCTTTCAGGTCTGCGCCTTGGTATGATCTACGAATCTCCATCTCCTCTCCGGGCTCTCGATGGACATCTCACAGACTCGTGGCGAGTTTGGAATATAGCCAATATGGCTTTAGGACGAGACGAACAAGTTTTCATTTCTAGGGACGTCATTGGAGATATGACGGACCCCAATTTCAGTCGAGTTCGAGATTCAGTCATGCTTGACATAGTGCTCCAACTGGAAAACGACACACCAGTCAACCACAGCTCCCCCGGAAGCGAGGAAGAATACTACGATGACCTCGATGACGAATTCGACGAAGCTTTTGAAGAGGTTCCTATTATAGCAATGGAAGACTCTTTAAACAGCGCCACCGGAAAAGCATCCGAGTACAAAGGCATGTTCTCCTCTCTCCTCCGCCAAGTAACATCCGCGCTCCGCGATCCTGCCGCTACTCTCATCCCGCAGCCTGATACCCAGCAAATGTATTCCTCTATAAAACTCCCCGCCATCGCACCCACCGGTCTTGGCGCAGCGGCTATCCTTGACGTTCCCGATGCGCCAGACCCAAACCAAGGCCCGTCGACGAGTAGCCTGATATGGAGGAATCTATATTTCGCCGGTCAAGCATGTACCGCCAAGCTCCCCGACGACGCACCGCGTCTCCACGATGTCATCGTCGTTCTCCGCGGCGGATGCACGTTCCACGAGAAACTCGCCAACATACCATCCTACACACCTTCCGCAACCAGTCTTAAGCTCGTCATTGTTATCGATGATGAGTATCACGGCGAAGAAGAGGGGTTCCCACCCAGTTCTGGAAGTGGTCTGTTCCGACCGCTGCTTGATAAGAGACAGGTTACGCCTGGGGGCTTGTACAGGCAAGAGCCTATTTGTATGGTTATGGTGCAATGGGGGCGGGATGTTGAGGCCCTGTTCAAGAAGGCTAGGGGCGTGGGGATTCGGAGACGGTATCATGTTGAGAGTCGCGGGGTCACGGTGGGAAATTTACATGTTATTTAGTGAGTGGACGAGCTTGGTGGTGTTGGTGGAGGAGAGGATGAAATGGGGGGTTTTTTGCATTTTGCATTTTGTGGTCTTGGGTATAGCGTCATTTCTTTTGGCTTTTTCTTTTTTGGGGGAGAGGATTTCTTGGGTGCATATTGCATGTTGCATGGTTGGACGATGATGATGATGATAATTGGGGGATGATGTAGATAGATAGTAAGAATCACGTTAGGTGACGTGATATATGGGGGATATTGGAATGAAACTCGATTTGATATTTGTTGTCACGCTTTCTGATATAATGTACTGTACTTTGGCACGTACTATAATACTTGTTTATACTGTGAAATGCTGTATACATCCCGTTCGAGATCCTGAGCTTTCTCTATACCGATATAACAAGACAGTTACTTTTGATCTATAGATAGGTCTGTGTGACTTCAATGGTGTTCTGCGAGTAGAAGGTAGATGTGGTGTATGTTGGGTTCTCCTTTCGTTTAAACAGAATCGTATAGTGAGGGAAGCAAGGGGTCTTGAAAAGCTAGTCTCTCTGGTCTTCATGAGTGATAGCAATAGCTTGCAATATTTCCCTATCTCCTCCGTGGTACGTGTCCCGCCAAGATGAATTTTCGTGTTTGGAGAGCCCCTGATTTAAACACGTCTCTTTTTATATTAAGAATTAAAAGGATTTTACGTTCGGAGTTCTAATTCTTACGTGGTACTATATATTAAGATAGCATTCCTAGATTTATATAAGTCTCTCTCGACTTTTGTAGAAGTTACATATAATACTAAATAGGAGTTTTTGCTAGGGTTTACTAGAAACTACTTTACACGCCCCTAATTAGGTTAAATATATTCCTCGCGGGACACGTACCACGGAGGAGATAGGGAAATATTGCAAGCTATTGCTATCACTCATGAAGACCAGAGAGACTAGCTTATATATGAAAATGGTCCTTTGAAGATGTATACTCGAGTACTGGCAACAAATATGATACGTCCTCAAGCCTCATCTATACTAACCTGCCACTGAATACAATCCTCATAACTGTGCCCAACAGTCTTTAAAAATGGTCCAGTTTTGGATGCAGTATATGGCGCACCTAAACATGAAGTTAGCCTTTTCTTTTGGCAATATAAGAAATGCGATTCAAAATGCACATACAACCATCAACTCCAGTTATAAAATTAGCGACACACCGAATAACTGTTAATGAACCGGCTAATTTCTCCAACTTCAAATCTTTCGGACACCAGGCGACATCCGGACTAACGCCCAAAGCAAATTGATGATGTGCACTCTTCGATCCATCGCTATTATAAATCACCACATCCGGACTTTTCAGGCTCTGCGAACCCTTGGCCCAAGATTTATCCTTGGCCAGCTTTCACAGAACTTCTTCGCCGCATTCGCCGCAGCATCGCGTTGAAAGAATAGTCCGTTACCGCATATTCCGCCACCCTGAGCAGGTGGTGCAGGCGGTGCGGGAGGTGGAGAGGGGGGTGGATTAGGAGGTGGGTCAGGAATATGGGGAGCTGCGACGGGCTGATTGACAACAAAACTGGCAGTTCCGCAACTTTGGGTACTCTTACCCGAGCCGGAGAAGGTGTGAGAGTCATACGAGCCTGTCTCAATCGTTAAACAATGACAAAAATCATGGGTAGGATGATACATACACTGCGTATTACCTAGAAAGCCGTTGAACATTTCATCGCAGCCAAACGTACACTCGCCTTGGCCGTGTTTCCAGGTCATGGCAAAACTCCATCCGTCGTAGCCAGGGAAGCCGACGTCTTTGGCAGTTTGGATAGCGTTAATGTCAGAGTCGAGAGCTTTGGAGGCGCAAATATTGATGATCATACTTTGTTTGATCAGCTGGAGTTTATTAATTAAAGCAGAGAACATACGCTTTCCAAAGTTTAGTTTCAAGCGCAACTTTGTTGTTATCCATACATTCTGGCACAGGTTGGCTTTCCTCGGAGAGAATTATTTGCTCGACTAAAAATCGGATCTGAATCCATTCTGTGGTAATATCAGTGGGTGTATCAAATTCAGGTTCGACGCATCGGCAGTCTTTATAATCCCCCTGGAGCTATGGTAAGCGAGTTTATGGCAAGCGAGCTTCGCAAGGTAAAAAGGGGCGGAGGATCTTACCACGGTACACTTCTTCTTTTCATCATCTCCTTCCCCTTTACATTTATCATTCGCACAGATAGGCTTTCTTTAGTCAGCACTCATACACCCTGGTCATTTATAGGATTCTTACTGCGTTAGTAGGACACGCCGATGCGGTTGAAGTAGCTGAAGTGGTGGTTGTTGGCGTCGTTATCGGAATTGTCCCTGCCACACTAATCAGAACATCCACAACTGGGGCAATGTCCTTACTAACCCATTGATCATACAAAACCCACAAAAGACCCAACGTCCCGAGCCCGACTACCCCAGGAGTGATTGTCGCTGCTCCGGCCTGAAATAGGGCAGTAAGCTGAGCAATATCATTGGCCGGTATAAGTACTCTGCCCAAAGGCATGGCGTTTTCAATTTCAGCAACTTCTGCAAGAGGCCCATGCTGGGCAACGGCTTCAGTAAAAGCCGTATAACCGCAAGATCCAGCACGCTTTTTTCTAGCGCCGCATAGTGGGATGGCTTTTGCAATTTGAATGAGTTTGGCCCACAAAGCAGGCCCAATAAGGATTTTAAAATTGCCCGTAGAATCATCCTGAGTCACGGATATGGAGGCTGCCCTGGTGATGGTTGAGACGGTGCCGGCCTGTTCGTAACCGTCAGCGTTGTCTTGGTGATATAACCTGAATCGGGCCCTCTTCACTGCAAATCATTAGATAGTTTCTTCCTCTAGCTTATCGTTGTCTTGTGGTACTTACTGATGTTGTGGATCCACCGATATCAGTAAGATATTCGGTATTTTTGCCTATCTTTCCCACACTTCGAGACAACCATTAACAAGTGAAAAGATGGACAGCTGAATTTGCATTGTTACTTACAGTGCATTAGCAGACGGAATTGGGTCGACATTATTTACGCCAATTTGACCACTAGCCGTGGGTTCAACGGCTGCTATGTGAATTTCTATAGCATTAACTGTCGTCCCCATGGAACACAATGCCAATGCGGCAGCAGTGATAGTTCTTGGGTTAGAAAACATGATAAAGCTTAAGTAAATGTCTGGGTCAGAAGATAAAGAAATCTAGCAGACTTTTCTTGCATAGATTTACACCAATTCGACACCTTTATAAGATAGGATACCTACATCGGCTTATTTTAGAATTCCTGATTATAGCTGCTGTCTGGCTAACAGGATTAGTCTGCTTGCAACCAACAATCCTTTAAGCAAGGGCTCAAACCAATAACCAACAATTTTTAATCCTATAATCCAAATTGCAAGGTCTTAATCGATCAATCTCTATCACAAGACTAAATCTCAAACAGCGATAACTCCTTGTAGCTTGGAGCTCATTTGAATAATGAACAACACACACTCCTAGAGCAAATTTTTCGACCTCACAATTCACAACATTTAGGTAAAGGACCACTAACATCCAATAATCCTTCAGCCAACTTTCCAACCTCACTATCAACGGCAAAAGATCACATAGCCACAATGGCAATCCAACCGCTGGCTGAAAACCCAATAATCCTACAGCGAGTCCTCCAATCTCTAATAAACAGCAGATTTTAACCATGAAACAATTTTCGACATGATTCTTCTTCGCAACGGCCAAAAGGTTATCCATGAAAATCACCAACCAATAATGCTGCGGTCAAAGTTTCAGCCCTCTACCAACCAACAATCCTTCAACCACAATACCAACCAAATTCCCGCAAAACAACAATTCTACAATAAATATTGAAAAGTAGATGCCTTATATGGAGGAGAAACTACTAACTCTTTTTGAAGGGGGGCTGTACATTTGGAGCGTAGGAACATTGCGTGCCGCATTATGGATGGTGTTTCGTAGAGGATCATTATGCTAGCGCAGTATAGAGATCTAAAGGGCTTGACAAAGAACAGACGGTCCCAAGTTTCTTGTGAGGACCAATTCTAGTAACAACTCCCGTTATAATTTGTATTCAAAATGATTCCTTTCTTACCTTTTATTGGTCTTAGTCTACTTGTGCAGGCAGTTCATAGTTGGGGTTATCACGAGTCTTGTAACAGTAAGTCGAGCTAGAATTACCAGTTACTGCCATATATACAACTCGGATATCTCAAGCTGACTTATTAGCTATCGGGCAACAACTCAAAGATGCCATGCAGGTTGCCTTTCGACGAGCGGTAGAGGCTAAACAAGAAATTGATAGGGAACCTCGAGACAAACATATCGAGGCGTTGTTGCAAACACTATTTGGCGGCGACGACAAAAAGGTCCTCGACGTATGAAGTATGGAACTCAGAATCTAGTGAGGCCCAAAGTACTAACATTTTAGCGCGACTTCTGAAAATAGGATGGTATGAAACCTATTCACCCTGGAAGCCAATGAAACCGGACGTGGTATGAATACCCCCAGACATCATTCAGTTTAAGAATGCCTGTGGCCATCTCAGTGAATAACTTCAAGGCTGCGACTTGCATCAGTTGGAACTAAGCCACGGACTCTTCCAAAAAGCTCCTCTAACATTCGTTGTAGATGATCTACTGCTCCACCGACCGTATCGGTGAGTACGTTGATCCCATTACGAAGGATAGAGGCTATACCGACCCAGACCGTGGTGGTATAGATAAGCCTATCATAGGCACCAACAGAATGGATAACTGTCGCAGCGAGGACCGGGCATCTTCCGAAGCCTCCACGCGCGCCCTCACAATCAATCGAGGAGTCGCCCTGTTCAAGGATGGCAAAAGGGTACCAGAACTATACCCTGATACTATTCAGCTGTGTCCATGGTATTTGAAGAAGATTGCTGGGCCGCCGCCGAAGTATAATACGCCTGATGAGCTGGTAAAACAGGCGGCGGACAAGAAATCCAAAGGTCTTTTAGGAAAGTTTATCGCGAAGAGGAATGGCGAAAATGCGACGCCGATCGATTCACTTTTTGGATTGGAACAAGTGCTGCTTCATGAAGTGGGTAATCTTACACAGCATTGTTTACTGAGTCTGTTATTAATTGTCGTAGTTGACGCACACTTCTATGGCAGGATACTCGGATGACACGCCCCCCAATGCCTGCTATGGATGGAAGGATTCGGCGAAATGCCAATTAAGTCAGAATGTAGGTATGTGTCTGAGTATACCTAGAATAAAGTTGTGCTAACTTGTTGCAGACAATATTGCTTATTTTGCTCTGGCGGTCGAACTTGTTTTACATAGGGGGTACACGGTCAATAAGGATGGGACATTACAGCCGCTCATTAAGTGATGAGAAAAGAGGTTGCAAATGTGTTATGGCTTGTTGTCTCAATGCCACATTTTTACTTTTATTTTATAACTTCAGCAGCAATAAGATGTCGAGGAGGCTTGCTTGGAAATAAGAAGGATTGTAGGAGTCTGCGTGTGTGGAGTAGCCTAAAGCAAATGATACTTTAAGAGTCGACGCAATTCCTGCAGGTGATGCAGTATCGATAAAAGCTCTAATTTAAAAATATCATTATTTACTTAGAAACTGTGTTTAGCACCCGTCTAGCTTTTCGTGAGAGAAAGATTACATTGAATCTGCAATCTGGCCTTTATCATTACAGAATTCCAGGTCTAGAACCTCCCTATGAATGCTCTCACCACCGACTTTGCCACCAACGTGGGGTTCTATGAACATACTCGCTAAGTTTGTCGACATCATTATATATCATTAGATTAACTCCTTCTGGGTGTCTCCTGACAGCAAATCCCGCATTCCGGAAATCTCCAGTGGTTGCTAAACCTTCCGGCCATGGCAGAACAACCTCCAACCTATCTGCCCTTACTCTCTGTAACGGTTGCAACAACTGCTGCTCTGGCAACCTCTCACGATAATCGTGAATCTCAACAACTAGCGAGCGGACCTTAACATTGGCAAAGGCGCCCCAACAAGCTTCCCAACGGTCTTCGGAGACCATCTGGCCACCTTCGATCTCCAAATTGACATCTTGGTTTTGAGTTGATGAATACATTGGATACTCGGTCATGAAAGAGACACGGAAACTTGCTAAGGCTAAGTGGGACGTAGGAATAGAGGCGATGAATCTGGTGGCGCCACTGATGTATAGATGGAAAGTGGTGGATGAGTAGAGAACTTCGATAAATTCCAAATATACTTTTCTACAACTCAGGATCAGAGGAATTACCTCCCAGCCGTTTTGTACCGTCTTGGAATGCGCAGCGTCGTAATGATCACAAGCACAGTCGTTTCTTGTTAATATGTTTTAAAAGTAGGGGTGTGTGTGTGGTAAGGCGCATGGCATATGCACGAGTTTCGCTTCAGATAGGAAGATATGCTGGACATTTCCATAACCATTGAGAACGTAGCCATAAATCTCAAGCCGAATCTCTAGAGGGAGACTGCTAACGAATAGAGAGTGGTCTTGCGTGTCTGGCAGGGTGCGACTGATATCCTGGCGCGAGGCGGGTAGATGTAAGGTATTGAGTAGCTGGGAGTGGCTGTGTGTTTTTGATGGGAGACTATCAATCTCAACGCACCCATGGCCAGTGAATTGCCGAGATGCGTCAAGGTTTGAATTGGGTACTTTTGCTTTCCCGTGTGAGGCGGAAGTTCGTAGAATGTGTTTCTTGAACCATGATTTTATCTTTGAAGAGGTTGAATCCTTATGAGACTTGAAAGGCAAAATGTTTTGGCCAGACATCAGAAAAGCTTTTAGTAATAGCTTTAGAGAATCTGATAACGTTGATAGCACAGTTCAACTGTTTTGTTGTCGAAGGTTGTAAGTTGAAGGGAGGTGAGGAGAGTCTGACAGTTATAAAAGACGTAGGCGGATTGCGTCGTTTTGTTGGAATTATGTTGGTCCTCTGTTGGTGTAGTACAGTACACAGCCACACTGCGGTCAGCAATACGCCCCATGAGTATTTTAGCGAACGAATTATAATGCCTCTCCCACATCGCACTGGCTGTAAGTCCCATATTGTTTATGCCCTCGGGATATTTCTAGAAAACTGCATCTTTACGGGTCAACTAGTCTTCTCGCATACATAATTTATTCTATGAAGCTGTTAGAAAAAACACGGTCTTTAGAAGCGGACCAGGTGGGAAGGGGGTGGAGTTTACACTTTGACAGGCTACTGCCTCTTCAGTTTTGTGTTTTTATTGTCTTCCAATCTTCCAAATGTTTGGTACCACCAGGGGTGTACTCATCCTGCCATGGAGTCTTACGAGGGAGGAATTGTACTGATATCAATAGACTCTTCTTAGCCCATAACTGTAGCTATGACAACCATTAAACTCTGGTATAATCATGAGCCTGACTTCCCCTCAATCTATCATTTACAATATCCATAAGGTATGATCTGAGTAGAATAAAATTTTCAAATAATCTAAAGGATACAATGGTCTGAAATATTGATATCCCCTCGGGTCGAAACTCCCTTTCCATAGTCTAGAAATCTAAACCAGGTTATAATTTTCCAAGAACTAGCTAACTTTGTACGCCGAAAAATAGCAGATACAATCTTGCAAGCAAAATCTTCAGCGGCAACTATTTATAATGTTAATGATTTCTATATCTAGCAAAGAGACGAGATTGATTGTATCAAAAACGATATTTTTAGAAGAACTCGAACAGTTCCGCATTATTTTCTGCCATTATGCTAATACGAGAGAGCGTATTAGATGTTCGGGTTGCAGGTCATAATCTATCCAAGACTCATGCGAGCAGAGATGAAGCCTCTAATAGCGTGGTCCAAGCGTCTAATGTTCAATGTGGTAATATCGGACGAGTATGTAGATAAAAAGTTATATTAGATTAGACATGTATCTTCAAGACTCTATTGGAGGACTGGTAATTAGGTGGCTGGGATAAAATAAGCTGGTCACGTAAGTGTTGCTTCATTGTGGGGCTTCCTGGATCAAATCGATTATTTGGGCTACGGTACACTTTGGTACCGGTCCGAAAATGATGCCGATATCCCGCGCTAACCTGCTTTTGGCCACAACCACTAAAACTAACTACAAATAAATTGCAACACAGCACATATCAATAATACGATAGATTCGCTGATCGAGCATTGAGAACTTTTCCCACCTCTCTGCGAGTTAGGAAGGGTAGGTTTATAAGTAGGGTTCAGTGCTAGGATGAGTCGAAGGATTTTATCGGACCTCGAGCGGACTTAACCTTTAGCGAGAATATTTAAACTGTTTTATGAAAGAGTCTATATTATTGCCCAATCAACCGAGTCGCGAATTAGGTAGGCGATTAAGCGACAAAAGAGAGGGATTGTTGTAATAACCGTTGCGATTACTGTAAACGCCCTTTGAACGTAAATTAAGCTTCTGAAACTTTACGCCATTACCGGTATGTAGCCAGAAGATCAGACTTCGGATAGGAATATATATGCGTAAATAAGCATGCTGGTATTCTCGACGTCTTTCGGTATACAATGACGTTCAGTCCCACAATATGTTTCACAACGAGTAGTTCTGAGAACAAGGGTATCTATCTCTGGGCGATGCGGCGGAGAGGTGTTCTTTTCCATGTGCTACCACCAGAAAATCAATTTTTGTGTAAGGGAGGGGAAGGGGAGAGTAGTTTACTTATCAGAAACTCGTTACAATCATACAGTCCCGTGGTAATTTACTATCAATATCAATGAGTATATCCTTACACAGATTTCATTTGGCAAGGGCAACAAAAGGGTATGTTGTCTCGATATATACTCGAGTAGGTTCCACTCAAATGGTCACGTGTTTGGTCCACTTGTTTGGGTACCATAAGTGCTTGGACGCTTTCACCCCTCTATTTCCCTTATGGGACCGCTTTTGCAAGTGTTCTTTTGTGCTTCGCTTAATATCGCTCGATATCTCTATACCTAAAGCATATTGGATCATATACATTCTAATGATTAGCAGGATTATAAATGTACTCACAATGTGGTAACACTTGTTGCTAGGTCCTAATTTTGTATCTAAAAACGTTGGGATCCTACTTGGGGGTTTTGCCAAATCACTTTATTTTGAAATTTGGAACGGGTTCTAGGAACCGTGTGGCTTCCAAGAATAAAAGTGACGGTATTTCGGGTGCTGAAACTTTCTTTGGGACCAAAACAACTAAGGATTATCCTTAAAGGGGGGGTGTATAACCTTGCACTCGACTAATAAAAGCCACGAGCTGAGAAGTCAAAAGAGTAGCCCAGAATTTCCTTATAGCGGGTATCCTAGCAACGAGTTTCACCTGAAGGGCTAATTGGCTGAGTATGGGATGAATACATTTCGGAAGTATTTGTACTTAAGCATTCCATTCTACTTTCCACAACGACCCACCACCTCTTTTCTCCATACCAACTTTCTTTTCCTCTACTGATAAACACTCTTTCATTGAACACAAACACGCAATGATCGCCGTGCCCTCACTATTATATAAACGCCAACTGTTTGGACTCGGATTTTTAATACTGACGGCTTTGTTATGGCACTTTAATTCAACGTCATGGTATGGGAGTCAGGATGTAGTCGGGAGCTTGACCGTATTCCAACCAGGACTACAACCAGCAGTCGAAGCCGAAGTCGTACCCAAGCTCGACACCACATGGCACAAGCAAATTGCGTCAGAAATGGCAACCGAGAAAATGGACCTGAAGGCTGTACGGACACCACATGGCTTACTGGACCGGACTAAGGTTGCTCTGCTCATCGAATCTCGACCACTTCCGTATCTTATTCCTCTGCTAGTGCATTTCATATCCGTTGTCCCACCCGAGTGGTCGTTCCGATTTATGGGAAGCGACAAGTCTGTTAACATGCTGGAAGCGAATCCCACAATCAGGAGGTACGTGAGAATGAAGAAATTATTTATCGACCCGGTCCCGAAAGAACTCTCCATCAATGGCTTCATCGGTGATTATGGCCATATGAACCATCTGCTCACGCATACATATTTTTACGAGGAGTGGCTGTGGCCCGCTGAATGGCTTTTTTATTTCCAGGATGATAGCATGATCTGCTCCGCTGCGAAACGAACCCTGAATGATTTTGTGAACGAGGGCTATTCCCTTATTGGGGCTTCGCACGAGGGTAATGATGTATCGGAAATCATTGGTGGCTTCACGCTGCGTTACATCCCACACTTTGTAAAACAGATTCACACGTTGTCTTTTCATGATTACGAGAAAGTTGGCGGGATGCCCTCAGAAGATGCCTATTTCATGTCGACAATGAAGAATTTGACAGACGCGAGAATAGCAAATGTCTCGGAGGCGATTCGCTTCGGAGTTGTCAACGATTGGAATAAGGATCCGGAGGAGATGCCCATGGGTTTTCATACGTATTCAGAAGGCGGTATGTTCAGGTCGAAAAATGGACAGGAACACCAAAAGAAGGCATATGCGTATTGTCCAGAGTTAGCCATTATCTCGGTTGGACGGTGGGACTGTCAGTGCTCTCGAAACCCGCTGCAACCTGGGGGGCTCGGTGGTTGAGTTATAAGCAACAACCGTCGCTTGGTTTACTGTAAGGCCGCCAAGGTGTTCGTCAGCATTATATTTCTTCGTTGAAGATAATTGGGAAACATGCATTGAAGTTTGTTTATGTGATCATATTGTTGGTAATGAGGACATATTTAAAAGGGGCAAATATTAGCAAGTATAAAAAATATATAAAGTTATCTAAGTTATATATATACGGTAATTAACTAAACTACCCCCTAATTAATTATAAATTACTAAAACACCCCTTAGATAATTGTCTACTAACTAAACCACCTGTCACGAATCACGTGCACACGTGACAAGTGAAGACCAGGCGGCGTCCTGACAGGCCAAGCACCATCGGACACTCTTATAGCAAGTGGGATCGATTAGGCTAGCTAAGCGATCCAGGGATTTTCTTTGGTTAGTATCACGTGACAAAGTTGGGTCGCCTGGAGCGACGAGCGCTCCAGTCGTCTGGGTCGACTCGGTAGACAAGCGACTCTGGCGACTCCAACAGTTGGAACAAAGAACGTAGGTTCTATATAAGACTGGCACTTCTGCCATTAGATAGGAGCTTCGTGCTCAACTTAGTTATCAATCTTATCATATTAGTTTGACATCTTTGATACAAGTAACGAGTTCACTTCCAAGTGAACAACCCGATAGTCTTCTTCTTATCATAGCATACCAACCAGCGAACACCCAGCCAAGTTTAGTTAGCCAGTTTGAGTATTCGTTACACTTTGAGCACCTGCTTTAAGTCGAAACTATCACCATGGCTCCCACCACCCCGCCAGCAGCAGGACCGGCCACCAGCCACTCGGCTAGCCGAGTCAACCTCCCAGGGACCTCAGGAGGAACTGCTACGACAAACCTCAACACGTCTCCGTCAGCCGAAAAGGACGTCAGTAACGACGACGACGACGACGACGACAGCATGCCAGATGCGCCTGACCTGTATAAGGTCGAGGCACTCGAGAACATCAAGGTCAAGATGCCTGACACGTACAACGGAAAACGACAGGAACTTGACTTGTTCCTTCTTCAGATGGACATCTACTTCAATTTCAACAAAGAGAAGTTCGAGGACGACGACAGCTACCGCTCGATCTTCGCTATCTCCTACCTCAGGGGATCGGCGCTAGAGTGGGCCCAACCTTACCTCGAAGACTTCTTCGACAACGATGGAGGAAACATGACTGTAACTAAGGCCATGTTCAGGTCTTGGGGAGGATTCAAACAGGCGATTCGACGAGTCTTTGGAGACTTCGATGCTGTCCGTACTGCGGTACGCAACCTCTTGGGTTTGCGACAAACCGGACCAGCTATCGACTACGCCAACGAGTTCCAGCGTTATGGGAACAAATCAGGGTGGGACGCCCCTGCACTCATGGAATTATTCCAAAGGGGACTCAAGACGCAGCCACCCTATAATTTATATCCTACTTTTTAAGGGGTAGTTTAATTACTAAAGTAGTAGATATTATAAATAAGGGGTATTTTTATCTACAAATACTAATTATATTAAAGTTATAAGACTTTATTTCTTTATTAGTTATTATATAGGAATACACTAGGAAATCAATAAATAAAGTAAAGTAATCTATTACTTATTACTTCTTACTTCGTAGTCTACTTCGGGTCGATTTAAGTAGAGGTTAAGTCTAGTACTCCTTATCCCTACGTTCACGCTTATTATTAGTTGTTATTCCTTGTTCCTAAGTAATATTCTTAATTCCTTTAACTTGTTATTCTTAATTAATATCCTCGCGTCCTTATCCCTAGGCCTTAATTTACTAGTATTATTTCATTATATAAGTTAATTTTTAAGAGTACGCCGCGGTTAAGTATTATCGTAGTACTTTACTTTCTCTATATAACATAGTTGTTATTGTAATTATTATTATAGTTATTATTATAGTTGTTATAACTTATAGGAGAATAGATAGTATTATTATAGAAAAATCTATCCTACTCGTAGTACTACGACGTTAAAGCTCTAATTTACTAGAGAATAGGTGTAGATATATATAAAGGTTAGTAAAGGTTAACTAATAGAAATACCCCTAATTTATAGCTTTAGTAATTTATAATTAATTATGGGGTGGTTTAGTTAATTACTGATATATATACATCTCTGTTTTCCTGTCGTTCTTCCAGTATAGCTACACGGTTATGGAGCGCTTAGGGGAGAAGTTCGTCCTACTTACTACTATGTTTCGTTAAGACGTTAGGATAAAGGGTACGGAACAGACATGGGCGGATACCTAGGGTATAAAGTATTAGAACTTTTAATCTTAAACTTTTAATTATAAACTTTAAATTAAAGTTATATTACTTGTTTTTATAACAAGTGCGCGTAAATACTATAAGACTATAATAAAAGGGTCTATATCCTACATAAATGAATATATTTAACCCCGAAGTATCTTAAATAGTAACTATTATCTCAAGAATTCCACTTTAGCAATTGTTATATGATCAACTATAACAGTACCCAAATAACTTCGAGTACTTCCAGTTATTCAATAGGTAAGTAATTTCCTCTATTCCTCTCACTCTCTGTCGCCCTACCACTCCTTGTCTAGACAATTAAGACTGACGGCCTGTTTAGTCGTATAAAATTACTTTCAAGGGCAAGACAGATTTAGTTATTCCAAAGGAGAAAAGTATACTCGGGGTAGTATCGGTTAAGTCTGGCCACCAAAATCTTTAGCTTTAGCTTACTTAGATACCGTATTTTCACCCCCTACCGACTAAATTTGTACGCTATATAGCTAAAAATAATCTAATTAGTTATATTTTGATAGTTTTAAAAAGCTAATTATATACTTTATCTATAGAAGTTATTATCTCCCTTATAATCTACTACTTTCTTAATAGCCTATTTAGCTCGCGATTTTAATTCGTATAAATATACTATAAACTATAAACTTTTATATACGTTCTAGAACCTAAGGGCTTATAGAAAAGTTTTCTAGTATATATATAATTTTTACTAATTTAACGAAATATATATATTACTATTTAGCTAGCTGTAAAAGTTTTTTACTATAAGTTATATATAAATCTTACTTATATATCCATACCCCCTCCTACCCCTCCTACCCTCCTACCCTCCTATAATACTACGCTAGCTTATAGTATCTCTCCTATAATACTACCTCTTCCCTACCTCCCCTCTAACCCGACCCCCCTGTTTACGCCTACGCTTTATAGTAATAAATTAGCCGAGGTTTTCTTTCTATTAGTATAGGGGGATACTATAGGCGGGGATACTATAGGAGAGACAATATAGGAGAGGACACTATAGGATATAATATAGTAGGGGTTAGGAATATAGTAGAACTTACTATAAGAGTCTAGGGGGGGGGGGTAGATAGATTTATAAGTAGATTTACGTAAAAGAAAAGAAGTATAAGGTTAAGGCTTTAACTCTTTTATATATCTTATTTTAGTAGTATAAATCTAAAAAGATTTATATATAGATTTATAATAGATTTATAATAGATTTATAATTGTTTTAGTAAAAGCTTATATAACTATCTAAATAAGCGTATAAATTAAGATTTATATATAAGTTATCTCTAAATCCATTAACCTAAATAACTAGCTCCCAAGTACCTTACCTAGGTATTTTCCATAGATTTACAATAACAACTCTATCTATCTCCCTCTATCTCGCTATATAGATTCTATTCCTTAATTTATACTAAGTATACGCGTTCAATCCTTCTTATTCTTATTCTTTACCTATAGTTATACCTTCCCTTTAATATAATTATTATGAAATATAGCACTAGATTAACTTTATTATATTTATATATAACTATATATATAGGTAATTAAGCTAGGTAGAGTTACTACTATACTAAATAATAGTATAGGATCTGCTTTATAAACTTTGGCGAGTGAGGAGTGTATATATTGGTACTCTTGGAAGTTAGAGGAAGCATAGAGTTGTTGTTTTTGATGGAAGGTTACTAGATTTTTGTCCTAGGTATTTGTGCAGTGTAATGGAGTTGAGTATGGTACTCGTATGTGATTTAAAATAGGAAAGGGGGGGG